TATATATATATATATATATATATATATATATATATATGTGTGTATTTTATATTCAAGATTGATTGTTCTATATCATATATGTCATTTTAATGTTATACAATAATATAATCATTATTTTAGTTTTCTATTTTTACAATCTAGTCATTATTTTACGTTAAAAAAATTACAGTTTATTTTCTATTATATATATATATATATAACATAATAAATAAATTTGATAAAATATAAAAATGTGAAATTATTCATGGAATCCATTTCAAAACTTTTATAGATAGAGATCATGGATGAAAGAGATTGAGTGTTTATAGAGTTATTTTCATTGAAAAAGTAAATAAGTGGTGTATATGTGAGATTTAGGAGGCGTAAGTGGGTCGGATTATGTTGAGTTTGGATGAATTTACTATTTAATTTTATCAAAATTTAACAAATTGAATTAGGTTGGTTTTATTTTTATTTTTTTTTTGTTTGAAATTCAATATAATCAGACTCAATCATGAACAGATTGGATTGAATTAATCATATCAATATAATTAAATTTATTTATTTTTAAAATTTAAATATTTTATAATAAATGTAAATCATTCGATATCTTGTTGTAAATGTAATGTTATCATCTCATAGAAAATAATGATACAAACTAAATTTCAAAATAAATTTATTAATTTGTTACATTGTTATCAGTTTGAACAACTAATATTAATACAAAATAAAATTAAAAATAAATATATTGTATTGTTATAATGTTATCAACTATAAAACATAAAACTTGCTAGTGAGCAAGAGTAATAAGTAGTATTCATTTAAACACTAATTAATTATTATTGATTTTTATTATATATGACAGGATCACTTCACACGTAAAAAAATATAAAACTCATTACTTAATTTGTAAAATGTCAAATTTTGGTTGAATCAAGTCGAGTCTTACCTAAACACAAAAAAATTTGATATAAATTCATTGGATCAATTCAGATTCAGGAATATCTATACCCACTTACACCCCCTAGATTGACCCACTTAAAAATTCAAAAACTAATTCTAAAACGGTCGCACTCTTATGTAACATATTAAGTATTAAAAATCATTTTTGTTATCTTCAACTGGGTCACATAATTTCTAGCATTTCATTTCTCTTTCTCTCTTTTAATTGTATAATCTATTATTCGATTTACATTACAAATAACATTTCTCAATATTACTTTAAGACACAAAGCAAATATTTGTATGTTTAGACATCCAAAATGAGTGCGGAACAAACACCTTATTTAGTGTATGTTTGGATTTCCGTTTGAGAAACTTCAAACGGACAATCCCGATTTCCAAAGCACAAAACGGAGAAGCAACTATATTGATGGATTAGAAAGAACTTGGATTGTTGAACTTAACGTTTTTCCAAACACACTTTTATTGTTTGGAATGAAGTGGTGTCATAATTGAACATTGCTGAGTATACTGCAGAAAACTAGATAAAGAAAGATAATCCATCAAGACAAAAAAAAAAGTCAAGTTTAATGGGCCTAAGCCTAAACCGTACCACATGGGTAAAAAACAAATTCAATCAATTCTCACATGCTGAAGTTTTTAGAGGTCAGCATCATGCGAAGAACAATCATTCATGAAATGAAAATAAAATAGTGGAAATGTTGGACCATATCTTCGCTACTCAATCCTATAGTGTAGTAGCTATGTATTGGATCAGATTTCAATCATGAAGGTGCTGGACAAAATGAAAGAATATCAACAGCCAGAGTTGAAAAAACAAATAAGAATCATAAACAACAGTGAGAACCCTGTATGGGGTCTCCAACCTACGGCGATCCATCAAGAAAATGACTTTTAAGTCCCAGCCAAATTGCATGTATTTCAATATCAAACCACAAATTATCAATGGATTAGTTTTTTGGGGTATAAGTAAAACATTGGAATAAGTCACTGGCTGGTACATTTTTGAAGGTAAATAAATATGCACTATGCACTGCGGGAGGCTGCGACTAAGATATCTAAGAAGTACAAATAAGGGTGTTGGTTTTAAATAATTTTTTTTATATATAAAGTTTATATTAGAACATGGCATGGCATGAGGACAAAATCAACCACCAACTTTTTTTATAAAAAAAATTAGTGGAATTACATATTGTTTATCTTATATTTCCACAAAAATATCATTAATATATTTTAGTCAACTTTTATTCTTATGATAAGGGTTGAGAATAACATTCTTACTTATCTTTTATTCTCTATTTAATTTTTATTTAAATTATTTTGAATTTTAAAAAATATTCTTAAGAATATTAAGATGTAACCCAGTAGTTTTTTTTACATAAACTCTAGAATAACATTCTTACTTATACTTCTGATTCTTGATAATACAAAATGAAACCTCAAAACAAATGTTCTCTAAAATCTGAAATTATATGGTAGTTGTTAAGTTGATTTCCAAACCAGAAAAAGGACAAAATCATTGGAAACCACTTGCAGAAGTCGTTTCTTGATGAATGCTTACGTTTTTTGGGACCTCCTTAACCAAAAGAGTTTAAGAAGATATAAATTATAGCATATCAACTAAAGCGCGTGCAATTAGAAAAGCATTTGCAATTATTTGCAAATGCACATGGCGACAAATAATAGTTATCTTTATGTTGCTTGTTGCTTCGTTTTATGCGACACTTTCGAATGATACAACCACACTCACTCAGCAAACGGTGTTGCGGACCTAGACTTAAAATGACAACGGGATATGATACTTTAAAGAGGAAAAAAAAATAGAAATTGTATTATCATGAAAATCATAAGTTCATAAGTACCGAATTATTGACTGTAACTCCTTCATTTGATGTAGGTAGAGTGTTAAGACTTTTTCCGTGATGTAACAATAGATTGACGTGAGTTTCTACGAGGGATGCACAAACTCACTGATGTTTAGCTTCACTGCACCATTCTTATCCTTTAACAGGAAAAATACACTTCGTACTTGCACTGTATTAAAATAAGAAAATTAATTATTTTTATGAATAATAATAATAATAATAATAATAATAATAATGAGAGATTACTTATAAGAAAATATAATTTTAAGAAGTTAAAAAAATAAAGGAGAAAATAGTTCATGTAAAAATGAAAATTAAAAATAATTTTAAAATATTTCTTTTATATAATGATATAGATATAATGGTATAAATGGGTGTACCCATTATCATATGATATGGATGTTTCATGTTAATAGTTTTTTTTTCTTTTCAGCAAAGCAGAAGCTTGGAATTATGTATATACGTTGGTGTGATTAGAATTTTTTTTTTATGTAATTGAGCTATGATTAGGTACTTGTATTTATTTGATTATGTCTTGAGCTTCATATTTCATCGTTGTCGATGCATTTAAAAATCAGTTGAGCACTCAACTTTGGTTAAAAAAAATTACATTAAAAAGATTTTATTTATTTTTTATTGGAACACATTTTTTTATTGAACGTAATTTTAAATTGATATTCATCAAAGTGTTATGTCTACTATTTATATTGAGAATTTGGTTCTCACTAACCAATTTTTCACCTAAATTTTTCAATTTTTTTACTTATGCATCAAGAAATTGGTTAGTTGCCAATCAATTTCTTAACTAGTTTTTTTTATTCATAATTTCGTGTTCTAAATATTATTATTTTTATAATATATTTTTATTTAATTTAATAGCTTAAAAAATTAGTTAATATATAAATAATTTTTAATTTTCATTTTAACATTATATTTGTTTCTATTATAAATACAATATTTTTAATTAAGATTACTTTTCATAATTTTATTTTTCTTATTCAAATAAAAAAATTTCATTTCTTTTTATTTCCATCTATCCAAACAACACCCTTTTTGTATCCTCTCTTTTATTTCTACCCTTCTTATCTCTTCCCCCTTTGCTTCACTCCCAATCCAAACAGAGGACAATTAACCGAATTTATTTTCTCAATTTGGAAAGTGTAATAAATAAGTTCACATAAGAATGATCCAAACTTGTGAACGTTCAAACTTGACCCATTAATAAACAAGCAAAAGCTTGAGAATGTGCTGAACCAAGCTACATGGAGGTTCCCAGGCTAGCTTAGCTCATTGCCTGCCTTAAATTGTATAGTAATATATAGATCACAAATCACTCTAAATAATAAATAAAATCTAGTTTCTAGTAGGAATCATTGCATATATCAACACAATTTTATATCTACACAATTTTCAACATTCGATCATATAAAGTCCAACCTCATTCTCTGCAAGTACACATCACGATTCTGCCACTTATCCCTCAGGTCAGAGATATTAGGGATGACTGTTGTAAGAAACATTTTCCTTCCAGTAGTGTCCTCTCAAGGAGAAATTCTCATTTTGTTAAAACTTAAAAGAGAAGAAAATAATTTCATGTCTCGTTCCACTGGATAAGTCCTTTACACACCTGCTGATGTACATCACGTAACCATTTGAGCTGTACAATTGAAAGTTCAAGTGAATCCAGCGCACCACTAGTACGAAATATTTGAATATTGAAATAGCACAATGCTATACAACAACATACTTAACTCTATTATTTAAACAGTTGACTTAAAATCTCAACTTTTAGAGGTATAACTCCTAGCAAAAAACCGAGACTTTGTCTTGTGAGAAGTTTCATGTTAATTTCACTATTTTCAAATTAGCCTATATAGTTATTTGAATGCAAAAGAATAAACCAAAAGGCTCTGAAACATGAGTAATCCAAAATTCATGTCATACACACCCAAGTACATACCCGTACCTGATACATGTTGGGTACTAGTAGGTATATACCAGGTATGAAGTCAGAACCTTTTTCAAAAAAAAAAAAAAAAAAAAAAAAAAAAAAAAAAAGTGGGTACGTAGTTTGAGTACACTAGGATACTTTTTTGATACATGTGGGACCGTACCCAAGTCTGAAAAATAAAACCTATATATGTCAACAAAAAACTTAAAAAATAAAATCAAAGAATTTGTGAGTCATGCATGCTGTAACAATCTCCAAACTCATAATCTGTTGCATTCAAACTTTTCTCACAACCATCACACAAATTGGAGCACATATTCTTTTGTTCATTCCGAGAAATGAAATATGCTCAATCCTAAGAGAACTGAAGATTTAGTCTTTATCCATACAAATTTTTGTCTCCTCTCAACAAAGAGTGTTATATAGAGGGTGAGACTAAAAAGTGGAATATTGGTGGAGATACATGGAATCCACTTGAAAGGCCTGACATTCTTGAAATTACTGTTCTTTCTCTTCATAAATCAGAGTTAGAAACAATTCTTCTCACGGATAATGAATAAGGAAACAATAAGATTGAAACCACTCATATATATCATAATTAAAGTGTGTATCATATTTCAAGTGTGATATTATAATCATGCTTTAGATGTTATGATTTTTATTCTTGATATTATAGTTCAAGAGACAAGTGTCCTGTTTATTTGTATTTTTTTTACCATTTATACAATTTACTTAGGTTTATATAATTAAAAAAGTAAATTTTTTAAATTACATTAATGTACCCGTACTCTAGATTTTTTTAAAAACCACGTATCCCATACCCGTATCCATGAACACAGCCAAAAGGTAGACCAAAATGGGCATGTTTTTCAGAATGTGATTTGTGTATAGGAGCAAATCCAATTGCAGCCGATAAAATATCCAGGTCATATTAACCTGGTGACATTAACAAATATTAAGCCAATTCAGCAGATTACCAACTTGCGATGTTAGTTGGTAAGCATAACATCATGATAAGCTAATTGATGACATCAGAAGGCCACATGAGTCATGACCTAGGCATTTCATTTACCTTATTCAGTAGAGGTGTCAGAATGAATTCTCTCGTACAGTCTATATATGAGTGATGATTTGGACATCTGCGGTTCCCTCTCCAGGACTGCAATCACGTCCTTGATAGAGATGCTTCGAGCTACACTGGTTTGAGGTGTAGTGGAATGATTTCTCCCAAGCTTTTTAGCGGCTCCTGTTGGCATATAACATCAAAGGGATAGAACATCAACTAAAAAGTTGCACAAAAATTTAACAAGACAATAGGCATACTCATGGTATCTTCTCTAGAAACCGAACATAATTTGCTGCTCCAGTGAAGGTGGTGATAGAAAGTTTTAATGAAGTTACAACTTTATCATACTATTGTAAACATATTTGGATCAGAAAAATCAGTTTATCAACTAAATTGGAGGAAGACAAGCAAACATTTTTCTAAGTTGTCTTATTAAAAGTTGGAAAGAGGAGGATTTTCTACATTTGGTTAATTATATTTACCAAAACACTTGCAACTAAAAAAAAAAAAAAGGATATTAGCCAAAGCCAAGTTCTTTACTTCTCCATGATATATACTCAAGTCCTTCTATTTTCTTCCTCTAAATTTTTTGCCTGAAGAATCTATGTTTGCTGAGTGGTAACGATATCTAAACTTGACTGCCCATCTTGTCAATGAGTTCTTAGATGAAATGATAGATAAATAACATAGAAGAAACCCACCGGCGATAGAAGTTGGACCTTTTTTCTCCCTTGCCTGATTATCTTTTGTACTCCTTCCTGATGTCGATGAAGATTTGCGCCCCACATCTTTGGCTGGCTGAGAACCAGATGAAGCATCCATCCCCCCTTCACGTTTCTGTCTGGCTTGCTCGGCCATAAGTTGCCACTTGGACAGCATGTCATCTCCCCCAACAGCAGCCCGGGCGGCAACATTTGCAGCATTTGTCCTCATCTTGTCATCCACTTCTTTGTTCACCTGCAGAATATTACTGATCAAAGATACTATTCCCCGTACATAAAGGTGAAATATAAAACCTTATTACCAAAAGAAAAAAGGGACAATACCTTTGTTGATTTCATTCTACCATCATCCTTCTCCTTGTCACCATCCATTCCAGCATTACCTTCAACCTATAGTTAAGAATAGCATTACAAGGTTTTAAATGACAAGCAAAGGTTGGAGAAGGAAAAATAACAAAACATATCCATGCATAGAAAACATGCATGAACAAGGCATATATGGTATCAGTAATTCCCCACAAAATTCCAAGAAGTGGAACCCACATCATTTTGTTTCCGGAGCTTCTCTGTTTCTGCTTGTTTTTTCTCCCACTCTTCCCTTGCCTTCCTATTCATTGTCATGATTTGCTGCCGAACATCTGAAGTGACAACAGTCTGATGTCTTGTCTTCTCCAAATCAACCCGCTGGTAAAGAAATTATTGGAAATAAGGAATTTTATACATTGATGAAAAGACTATTCATGCAGGTAGTTAGGGAAAATAACTGACCTGTTTTGACATTCTAATCATGTTACTTATTACTCCACGCATTCTTTCTTCCACACACTGAACATTTTTCAGACATAAGATTACACACAATCGTACAGCAATAAAAATGAAAAAATGTTTGAATCTCACCAGTGACAAGCATTTCTCCAAATCATTACTCATACCCTTCAAGCCACACTCAGTTACTGCCACAAGTAACAACATAGAACAGCTATAAGTCTTTGTGGACCTAGTACATACCCAGATAATTTCGAAGTACGGAAAGTATAAAATCAGACACATGAGTATGGCATAAATAGGACTAACTAATCTCAATCAATTTTCTCTGCAATGGAGCTTTCTGCAAAATCAGACTTTCCTCCTCTTCTTGCACAACTCTTCGAGAAGCTTCTGAAACTCGACTATCCTCCTTGGACCCAGAAAATAATTGTTCTTCCTCCTCCTGTAAAAGAGAAACATAGTTTTAAAATAGAAAAGTACACATTTCCAACTTATACAGTTAGTACAACCTGATAAAGTATCATACCCTAAGATCAACACCACTAACAGCCGTGACATCATTAAGCTGTTCAATGCTCGGTTCCAGAGATGCCCCAGACACTTTTTGTTTCTTACTTTAGGATAACAAGCAGACATGTACATATCAAAATCAGCAAGAGATTAAAAAACTAACACAGAAACAAGTAAATCATGAAACAGCAGAATATAACAAATCACCTTGGAGGAGGAGGTGAAGAACCAAGTGCTTCAATTGGTTTCTTCTGGCCTGGAGAAGGCTTTCTCAGAGGAGTCCTTGCATGTATACCAGATGTGTTTGACGGGATCTGAGAGCTTAACTGATAAAATACAAAAGGGGCAAGGAAATTAGGTATCACCAAGTATGAAGATATAATTAGGATCACAAGGCATGCTCTATGTACAGAATGATATCTAGGTGTTTAAGGGGGAAAAATTACAAAAAAAAAAAAAAAAAAAAAAAAAAAAAAA